TTACATCTTTTTTTTTTTAATTGCCCTTTAATTTCATGAGTGTATCTGCCTTACTTACATCTGAGTTATCTCTTCTTTTAAAAGGTCATTATAATTTAGAAACTCTTTACCAAATATCTTAATACTATATATTTTTTAATCACTTGATAATTTTGTGTGTGTGTTTTCAAATTACAAGACCTGATAAACCTTTTGAGGTTAGATTTGCCCACAAGAGGCTATTCTGAACAGGAATTCTGATGTGCTCCTCAGATCTGACTGTTGTGACAAGTCATGCACTGGAATACATAATAGCCAGCTAATCGGTTCAAGCTGTTGCCATCATCAGAAGCATACACACACAATTTTTCCCTGTTTTGTTCTCTTCAATAATCTTTTACTTTCTTAAATAAAAATAAAGTCTCTAAGATGAATTTAAAGGAAAAACCCTTCCCTGGCTATGCTTTTCCTATTCTGGGAATAAGAAAGGCAGCCATCAATCAACACAGGATGCCTCTGTGTCTGGCCAAGGGAAAGAGAAGTGGAACCACTATGGATGTTTTCCACAGTAGAATGACTCTGAATGGTTTTCCTTGGATACACAGCAGTGCTTGGCTTTAGGTCTTCAGGAAAATATGAGAGAGACACAGAGAAACAGAGACTTGACTTAGCTCCCAAAGAAACTTGATTTTGATCATTGAACCTGCCATTCTCTCAGACTTGATGGCTACCCTATGCTAGTTACTCAATGGTTTGGCCCCATTCTCTACTTCTCTCCTTCCATAACATTCCTACACTCTATATCCAATCTTCAGCTACTGTTATTGGTTCTGTCCCTTCAATATATATCCATACTATGATCTCTGCAGCTGCAAAGTTCTTCCTGCGTAGCCACCATCTATTATTACTGGATTGCTGTATAATCTCCTAACTGGGCTGTTTTCTTCATCATCACTCATTCATTCACGCATTCTCATGACATATGACATTCTCATGACATATGACATTCACATAACATTTACCTTGTGCCATTATTTTTTCTAAGTGCTAGTGTTGCAAGGATGAATAATAATGATGACAATGAAAATGTCCCATATCTCATAGTTTCCTTTATATCCTTAGTCAAAAGAGTACCATTTGTCATTTGCTAGCCCACTTTCCTGCTTTATTTATCTTCACAGTAATGTTTATCACCTGACATATTAATATATTATTGGGTTTTATCTATTATCTTTCTTCCCCTCACAAGAATGCAAGCTCCTTGAGGTCAGGAGATATGTTGGTTTTATTCACTGAACACCTAAAGTAGGCCTCTCGCCCATAGAAATTGCACAGAATTGAGAATTATTAGGTGAGTGAATGTAAAAATTTAAAAATCTGTATCTGAAGAAAAGGTAATTAAGTGGAATAAGAGCCATCTTGTAACTAAACAGCAGGTAATTAGAACCTAGATTTTAAAATATCTATTTCTGTTCCTCTGTGGCTTCCTGGGTTTCCTGATTCTAGATTTCAGAGCAGGTGAATCCAAGATGGTGACAAGTCACTTTGCTAGTATGATAATTACAAAATTGCAAGGCAACATATAGGCCAAAGAATGACCCAGCAGAATATATTTAGTACCTGAGCACTGATTAGAAGGCTGTGGCTTTGAAAGAAGCTGCCCACAAAGCCTTTGGGGAAGATCAAAAATTATATGTTAAAGACTTTCTTTAAAGAAATAATATTGAATCCCAAGGAAAAAGTATGGACTATAATCCAGAAGGATGTGCTGTTTAAGGACCTGGATTGGGGAGTGAAAGGAACCTCTGTCCACATTGCAAACCACTTCCTTTGTCCATGATCTTCAGCAGACTACTTTAACTTTCAGAGCCCTGGCTGGGTTCCTCATTTCTAAAATAGAGACTTTATTACCTACTTCACAGTGTTTTTGTGATTGTTTATTAATTCATTCAACTAATATTTATTGAACATCTACTATGTGTACCAAAGCACTAAGGATACAAATATTTGAACAAACCAGGTAAAATCCCTGATTCTCTGAAGCTTACATTATATCCTAGTCAAAGAGATGAGTCAAGATAAAAAAGAGTTCAAATGGTGGTAAGTGCCTAGGGATAAATAAAGCAGAGAAGGGGAGGGGATGGTCTTCAATGTGTACTGAGAATAGGGTGACTTTTACTCACAGGGGTCACTGGAGACTAGGTGAGATAACAGTAGATTGAACCAAATGGTAACAGTGAAGGTGGTTTAAAAAAAAATCACATATTGGATATATTTCAAGGTAAAGCCATCAGTGTTTACTGATAGATTCGAATGGAGTGTGAGAGAAATAGCAATCAAGGGCCAAACTTAATTTTTTTTTTTTTCACTTAAGCATCTCAGTGGAGGTGAAGGTGCTGTTGAGACTCAGAAAATGGGATCTCAAATCCTGTGCCTTGACAGGCTAAGAAGTTTTAGACCCCACCTCTGAATCAAGCTCCCTCTGACCTTTGTTTGTCTCTCCCCATCTTAGCACAGAGAGCAGCTTTCTGCAAAGTTCCCTTATCTACCTGAGGAGCTCTGCCAAAAGAAATGCAGTTGCCTTCGGTCTTCAAACTAAAATTTCACTAATCAAAGACTAAAGTCCTCAGAGGAAGAAAAGTTGTATGCCAATGGGGGTGATTCAGTGAAGTCTACACTTGGAAATTCTTTTGTCACACCACTGTCATCTAATTCAGTCCCATAAAAACCATTAACAATCCATTTCCTGTGGGCCAAACAGACTTGAACCCAGGCCACTGTGTATTCTCCAAGCACAATGGTTCCCCCCCCCCAAAATCACTTATTATGGCCCTAAAAATTATCTCCATTCTCCATTCTCCCTCTCTTCTATTGAATAAGGTATACGAGTTTCTGAGTCCTGATGGGCTGGTGGGTAATCATATCATGTGATGGCTTCCATGCACATCATACATCTGTGTGTCTTTTTCTCCAATTAATCTGTCTTTGTCAGCTTCTTCCAGCGAACTTTAGAGGGTAAGGGGAAGATTTCCCTTTGCCCCTACTCATGGGAAATTCAAAGAAGGAATGGGATTAGGAAAAAGGTCAGAATGAGTTTGTGAACATTCCTACTAAACATGCAAATGAAATGTTGAACATGCAGGTAGATATCTGAGATTAAAAAGGTAAGGGGGAAATCTAGACCAGAGATAAATATCTGGAAGTTGTCAAACTACGAGTATCATTTAAAGCAACAATTGTGGATGAAATTACCAAAGAAATGAGTGTGAGGGAGTGACATGACCATAAGAGTATGACATACCAACAGTGTTTACTTAGTAAAGAAGGGCAAAATAAGATGAGAATGGATACTGGATGAAAGTGCTCTCAAGGTCACAAAGATCTTGACCAGAATATATATAAATGGGTATCTCAATATCTGCCTCACAGTGTTTTGTGGGGCATTTTGTGTGTGTGTATGTGTGTGTGTGTGTGTGTAGAAAGTGATTCAAGGGACATTTACTGAATATCTACTATGTATGTCAGGCAGTTTTAATGGGGTTGTGGGATAAAAACCTCATTGGAGTGTTTTTAGGAGAAAATCAAGGTGAAAACTTCAAACATATCCTAGACAATTSTTTCAAAGGATTTTATTATAAACAGACAGAGCAATGGATCAGTAGCTTGTCACCCCATGACACAGAAATAATAACATAGTTGTGTGTCAATGGGGGTGATTCAGTGATGAGAGGAAATTGCATGAGGCAGCCGAGGAATTAGACAACTGCTATATAGAAGTTCTTGAATGGGCAACACAGGTGACATCTAGTGTTCAAGTGCAGGGCTTCCTCTTAGCTGGGAACAGGAATGGTTCCTGCACAGTAGTAACTCAAAGTATACTGGCAGAGGCCAGTAGCTAGGTTAATTTCATGGAGGGAGTTTATGGAATTTGTCTTCTGACTGCATTTCTCTTCTCTGCAGTCAGGTAAAGCAGTCTGAGGGAGAAGATACTGGAAGTTAGAGAAGAGTTGGCATGAAATTATTTTCCAGGAGAGTAAAGGGATTAAGAAAGCAATGGCAAGATTATCTGCCAGCACCCAGGAGTCCCTTCAGTTAGTGGCCATGAATTTAAATGGAGATAGATAAACTTGGTTGTGACTGTTCCTCCAGCCACTGTAACAGCATATGTGCAGGTCAGGAGTAGGGAGGGTGTAGAATTTAATATGGGTTCCCTTAGCTGAGTGCTGAGAAGGGAGAAAGAACTTCAAGGAAATTGAGGATGAAGAACGGGATCAGAGCTGGTTAAAACAGAAGGGAGAACAGGCATGCATAAGGGAGTCAAGGACAGTGGACCTACTGATGACTAAATAAACATTCACATGAAGCTCTTAGAATAAAGTAAGTTAATCACGTGGCAGTTGTTCCTACCATTATTTTTAATGTTCTGATTATTACTTGCTGAACTTGTTGTGGTCAGGGACTATGTCTTATTTATTTTTACAGTCCCCAGTTCTTTTATAGAGTTTGGAATAGAATAAAACCAATGAGGGGAAAGTTAATTGCATAGATAGAAAAGTCCAGAAAATTCTTTGTTTTAATGTCAAAAATTTGTGTTCAATAATTTATAATTTTGACCACTAATAATATTTTCTACTCTTAAATATACACATTTATATTTTGCTATATTAATATGGGAAAACATTTCCCCACGGTCTTAATTTGAAAGTAGAGGGAAAAAAAAAGAGTTCCAAAATAAATATGGAGGAGTACTGAAGGGGGAAAATCTACATACCAGGACTCTGTGAAATATACAAGCTACTATAATGTTATATAAATAAATATTTAATTTTAGAACTGCCCATTAAATTTACCTACAACTCAAACAAAGGAAATCTTAGTCATATAATTCCACTGTTAGAGAATGAAAATCAAAGTGGTGATTCACAGCTATTATTAGATGTTGCATATTAAATACAGAAATAAACTGACAAACAACCTTGCCTTTGATACCCAGAAGCCAAAAAAATTGTAAGTCACAAAAAGGTATGAATCAAGATCAAGGTCACTCCAGCTTGGGCAAAAGTGTATAAGCCTCTACATAGAGTTTTTCATTCCTTTCTTCAATTAGACAATGATTCTGGAAGCTTCTGGCCTGATCCCTGAGCTTCGATAGCAGTTCATCTCAAAGCCACAAGTCAAGGTTATGGGTAAGTTCCGGTGGGAGGAATAAATTATTGTATGTTGATTTCTATATCTGATCCAGCACATTGATTTCTATATCTGATCCAGAATGAGTAGGTGAGCTACTCATTCTAATGGGGAAAAAAAAAATCTTGAAGCTTTGCTTTGAAGATCATAGGGGGAGACACTATGATCTGATTGATTTATTTAAACTTTAGGAATTTTTAAGATGTTGTTTTGCCAGAATTGCTGCTGTGAGACACTTTTCATCAAAGAATCCCAGTTTTTGGACTAATTATATTCGTGAGATTGGGAAAGAAGTCAGCCTGTCATATCATTCTTAATATCTAAGATCAGCTGTGAGTATAAGTGTAGGAACATTCACTGCCCCCAGAGCAATAGCTTCCTTTCCTATTAAAACCACTTTTGAACTATGCTGTTCAKTTGATATCTGAATGTTTTTTGAGAAGTGGTGGGACTTGAATTTGGAATTCAATATAAATTCATACTTTTATCATTTATTTACCTATGATAAAATTTAGCAAATATTGTTTAATCCCTTTTTAGGTCAGGATTAATGTTAGAATTCATTTCTGCCACAACAGAGGCAGGTGGCAGCACTTAACCATGGAAAGCCAGGTGGATACAATTATCTGAAGCCCCAAGGTCACAGTGGTATCCAGGAACAAATGACCTGAAGAATTTTGAAGACCCTTAATAGATACTTACTAGTCAGAGAAGCAAGATGAATGGAAGTTGCCCAGATAAGTATGATGGTAGGCAGAATGACCCTCCCCACCACCATAAATGTCCATGTCCTTCTCATCCCTACAACCTATGAAGATGTCACCTTACATGGTAAAATGGACTTTGTGATTAAGTTAAGGATCTTGTCATGGGAAAGTAATCCTAGAATATCTGAGGGGGCCCAATGTAACCACAAGAGGCCTTATGAGGGATGGAAAGTGAGTTGGAGAGAGGAAGGGAGGGAGTTGTGACGAAGGAGGAGAGGGCCAGAGCCAAGGACATCAAGACATGACCAATAGCCATGGAAATTTTGCAGCCTCTAGAAGCTGGGAAAGACAAGGAATAGATTCTCTGCTAGAGTTTCAAGTAGGATAGACGCTATGCTGCCACCTTGATTTTAGCCCCATAGACACAAATTAGACTTATGATCCCGAGAACTGTACGAGAATAACTGCTGTTTTCAGCCTCTATTGTAGTCATTTGTTATAGGAGTAATGAGAAACTATTAAAAGGAATAATAAAAGTAAATCAAGCACTGAATGATCAAGAGACTAAGGGTAGTCACCCCACTAAAAAGTCATGAATCCTGGCCCAATTTCTGAATCTGAGCTAGTTTTCAGGCTTGTAGTCCATTAAGTGAAGGCAAAGCTGAGTCATCAGGAGGAAGTAGCCTGAAGTGCCATGCCCAGCACAAATGGTAATGACTCCTTTATTCCCTGCACAAGAGATCCTCATGGCCATGCACTGATGTGATTTAACTGGGAAAGGGRACAATCAAACATCTTGAGGACTGACAATACAGGTTCCCAAGTGACATTGATACTCAGAGACTTGAAATATTAGCATAGATCACTTGCAGAATGGAAACATGTGGAGGCAAGTAATAAATGGGTTCCTGGCCTAGATGTGGCTTACTATTGGCCTCTGTGGTCATGTATGCACCTAAGGGTCATTTTCACAGACTGCCATTGATTAATTGGAATAGATAGACAAGGGTAAGTAGCAAAACACCACTTCGGTTTCTTAGTCTGTGGGGTAAGAGCTATCATACAAGGAAGTCTTGAGAAAACTTTAAAACTGATCCCCATTCTAACCTAAGATAGTAAATCAAAAACATTTTTATTCTGAGGAGTGGCAAAGATTAAAATAGCACACTTAAAGACATGAAGATGCAGGACTGGTGTTCTCCATTGTATCTCCATTTAATTCATTGATTTACACACTATAAATGCCAGACAAATCCCAAAGTATGACTTGATCAAGTAATGGTCTAAAGCAGCTACTTTTCTGGAGAAGACTGTCATGGCCTTGCATACACTACATACAGCCACTGGTCTCGAAAAAAGTGCTTTTCCATCAGAAAAGGGGATCCAAAGCACTTTGCACATACTTAGAACAGACAAGAGTACACATGAATAGTCCCAAGCCCAGCATATGTTCACTATTATTCCTTATCACAACACAGTCTAAAAGACCTGTCTATACAGCTTGAACATTTCAATGGTACATTCTATTGATGATATCATAAATTTGACTAGATGAGCAAGAAATAACAAGCTCATTGAAGACTTTGTTAAGACACAAAAACTCTAGAGAGTGGGAGATCAGTTTACAAAGATTCAGGGCCCAATCCTAAGTAAAATTTTACTAATTTTAATCCCAGTGGATTAGGGTACTCTGGGATATTTTCTCCAAAATAAAAGATAAATTATTACATTAAGCAACATTTTCTGCACAGAAGGAAGCATAAAACCTGGAAGGCTTCTTCAAGTTTTAAAGACAATGTACTCCACACCTGAAAACATGTTCCAGCCTGCATACATAAAAAGCTGTCAACTTTTGAGTGTCTAGCCGAATGGGCCCTGTAGCTAATCCAGTTACATTGCCCTGCCACATGGGCCATAAAACCCAATAATACCTATGGTATCAGGGATACCTGTGGTGGATAAAGATGCCACATAGAGTTTATGCAAGTTCTAATAGAAGAATCTTAATTTAGACTCCTCTCACAAGAGAATTGTACATTATTTTTAAAATAGATCCTTGAGAGCTATTAGACCCTGGTAGAAATGGAAGCCTGACCAGGGTCATCAAGTGAACATTTAGCCAGAAATGCCCATCATGAGCCAGGTTCCCCACATTATATGATCAGGTGGCCTATCAGCAATTCATTATAGGTGGAAGTGATACATTAGCCCTTCTCATTGAGTTATATCAAACACCGTATCAATCAGAAGTTATGATCCTGAATGTGAAGGAATGGCCTATTTAAGGCCAAACTGAAGCGCTGAGGTAAAGGTGATTCTGTGTAAGGGGAAGAATACCATCCTCCAGGATTCACTGTATATTTTAAATCAATGCCTTGTATATGATGCTGGTCTTAAAAGGAAGGATGAATAAAAGAACCAAGGGGAAGAAGCAGGAATGACTGACCCTTTTCCCTTCACTCCCAAGGACCCAACTTGGGAAATGCTTGCTTTCCATCTCTGTMATTATGGGTTATTTTGTGCCTTTTCCTCAGTGGGAAAATGTTTTCATCAGGGAGCATGACCCACAGGAGTACCCTTGAATCACAAGTTGCAGCAGCCACCTGGGTACTTTGGGCTCTTGTACTCAGGAAATAATCAGGCAAAGAGAGTCAACATTCTTGTAGGACCCTGACTGTCAGGAGGTAGGACTGTTATTACACAATCAGGGCAGGGAGGAGTATGCACAACACCCTGTGAACCACATGGGTTCTTGTAGGTACTAACTCTCCCTAGCAGGAACTCTGTCAGATGAGATTTCAGACCCAGGAAATAGATTCCGGATCCCAGCAGGAGGAAGAAGATGCAAGATGCAGTTGGGATAGTATTCAGGGGTGGCAATATCCCCTATCTAGCCCCCAACTCCAGCTTCAGCCCCCATCAAGTTCCACTTTGCCCCCCAAGTCCTTTACATAGGCCTGTTTTTATATGTAAGCAAACAAAGAAGGCACACTGCCAATAGGTTCCATAAGTGGACACATGTTTACGACCTTGAGTACATACGCTGAATCAGAGTTTTTATGACCTTGACTACACACCAACCATAATAGAGCTGATTCATGACCTTAGCTACATACTAAAACTATAACATGGCTCACTGGAACCTCTGGCRAGGGAGCATAGCTATAGGCATTTTGGGCTTGCACCAACAGGCTCTGATCCTCAAGATAAGGGTCCATGTCCCAACCCCAGGTAAATTACCTGGACCAGCAGAGTTCCTAGCTAAGAATGAGAAGAATCCAGAATGGTCATAAATAAAGGGGGTTASTGTTAAGATCAGCCATGAGAAAAGAAACCTAGAGACCTAAAAGGAGAAGACATTCCAAATACCAGAATAGTTGCTCYCAGAAGTTACCCAAAGAAGTGAATCTGAACAGTACCAGGAGTGATCTGCATTAGACACTGTGGGGCTCTACCCAGATCCTTGTGGGGACTGGAGAGCCTATTCCCTCAGGTGCTCTCAACTCTTAGCCTTAGCCCCTCTGGCAAGTGCCCTTATTTAGGAATTGCTCACCCAAAGAGCAGCCTGATCCAACCCTTTGTTAACATGAGCAGATAAAGGCCTGCTTCCTCACASGAAAGGGCAACAACTCTTATGGGTCACTCCAGTTTCAGTGAGGAGACCTGTGCAGTCAGCTCAAGTTTTTGATGAGACCACATCACAGCTCAACTTGTCCTTCTGCCAGATCCTTCTTTCCCTTGCACAGATGTGGATCCCAGGAACACTCCCTAGTGAATTTCCTGTACCAGCTTCTCCATCTCACAATCTGCTTCCCAGGAGACCCAACCTGCAACAGKGAGACTGACATTAAACCTTAACAAAGATTTTTTATTTAGCCAAGGATTTAAAATTTTGTAGATTTTTACACTCACGTTTAGATTTCTTTAAAAATTAAAGGTCCTGGCAATTCTAGGCTCACCGACACAAATTAGTACCCATCATTAAGAGGCAAATACCAGCTGCCTTCTGATTGCACATGTATTCTCCAACTAGCCAGAAATCCTGTTGCCTCCTCTTCTTTTACATAGGACTGGCTTCCTTTTACTTATGTCACCTGCATGGTCTCTGGCCATTTGAATTTCTGACATCAGACAAACTGAAGACTCTGAGTTACCTAGAAATTATAGAATAGGGACYGTGTGTCTCAAAATGTGAGGGTTGTTCAAATCCAAAGAAGTCTTTGGTACCTGTTCATAATGGAAGTAGTAGTGACTTATCCTCAGGGAACTACCTCCTCCCCAGTCCACCCCAC